TTGTTCTTGGCAATTTTGGATAAAATCACTAGAAGCTTCAGGCCACATCAGGAACTTGCAGAAGTAGAGGACAAATTTGGGAATACACTGAATAGTTAATAGTGGCAAGTAACACTCTTTTTTTAAATTTTTTTTTATTTATTTTTTTTTTTAAAAAAGACCCACCAAAACCCCATGTTTGATACTAATCTTACATTTTGATGAAATTCAGAAATAATGTAACTTCTGAATTTTGTACATTTTACTTATCTCCTCGTTCAGAAAGTTGTTCTCCCCCTGGAAATCTCAATTTTTACTCTCTGTAATGCAAGATAAATGTGTTGTGCACAATTATGGCTATTGTGTGTAGGAGAAGAGCAAAGATAAACCAGTACTAAGCATTTCTCTCATTACTCTTTTGTTACTTTTTCCTAGGAAAAAGGTCATTTATGGAATGAAGGAGTAATTGCATACTGCCAGATAATAAATAACAATTTTGTATGCTAACAATGTTATTGCTACTTTAGATGTTAACCCTCAGTGTGCTTCACTGATTTCCTTCACTCTGCTTACTGCAGATTGGGTAGTAGTATACAACCCAAAATTGTTAATATTTATCAGCTTCATAAATAGATTACCTATATCTAGATAGACATCTCATAGCAATATTTTTTTTTATCAGCATCTTGACAATAAATTCTTGGTGTTTATTGCTTCGATTTAGATCCTAGTAGCATTATTAAAGTGATGTCATTAATGTCATATTTCTGGTTTGTGGGTTGTGTGGAGGGCTTAAAGAAACTCACAGGAAGTTGCCTGCCTGTTAAAAGGAAATCTGCTTCTACATATGAGGCAGAAATTCTGCCTAAGTATGACTTTATTTAACAAACTTCAAGAGAAGGCATTTAATTGTGCAAGAAGAGTAAAGTGATCAGTTGCACAACTGCTGTTTAGATTTAAGGAGTTCAGCATTTCTTTTGGGAGTAATGGAGTAGAATGGCGTCCTGGGATTCTTCTAGACTTGTTCTAGATGGTTAGTTTTCCCTCTGATCCAAGTTCCTTATATTTTTAATTTGCGAGTGCAAGTTAAGAGAATTTTGAGGGGGTTATACATAGAGCAGTGGGTGGCCAAATCTTTCTATAGTTGCTTCATGGTTATTTTAATAGTAAGACATTGGACATAGGTAGTATTTCAGAAGTAGATTATAACAAGGCACTGGGTGAATCTCAGTTATCGTGTTTCCAGATAGTTAATGCATAGCAGATGTCAGCGCTCTCTGTGGATGCCTTTTAGTATTCTTGGCCTGGTTTTAAGCAACTGAGTTAAGTTAGTCTAGAAATAATACAGGAAAAAAAGTTGCATGCTAATATCTTGTGCCACTTTTAAATAGATCTTTGTGCATACAAGTGTTGCTTACGTTTCAACTAAGTAAAAATGTGGAGTATTAACTCATTCAAAACCCAGTAAGTGGGTAAAAATCTATTTACATTTTACACGTTACTCTAAGCTTATTCCTTGCTTCTGTCTTTTAGAGAAGATTCAAGCTGACTTAATGTAAAAATCTACAGAAGTGAGTTGTCAGGAGGTGAACCTTGTCTCCTTGGCGCAATTTGTGTTTCATTTCCTTCATGATTCTACAAGTGTATATTTCCCTGACAGAAGCATGTGTTTCAGGATTTTTCTTTTTTTTTTTTTTTTTTTTTTTTTTTTTTTTTTCCATATCCATAGTTCTTACTCAGTTTTCAAGGTTGTCTTTTGAAAAAGAAATGTTTCTTCTACTTTCAGGCTCATCTACTTCTAGTGATCCCATATGGTCTGGCCATTCACCACCACCCCATCAAGAAAACTGGGTCAGTTTTGCAGATACCCCACCAACCAGTGCTCTTTTAGCCATGCATCCTGCTTCTGTCCAGGTGTGACACTTTATTGGTATTTGATTTGCTTCATTCAGATTGATGTTGCAGGTCTTTTTTTGTTTGTTTTTTTGGTTTGTTTTTTTTTTTTCTTTTTTTAAATAATTTTCATTGCAGATGTTTACTGTGTATCTGTGCTGTGGTCTGTTCAGTGCTATTTACCCAACAGATACTCATTGAGTTGACTTTATTTGGAATGATTAACTGAAATCTCATTAAAAAAAAATCAACAATTATGACTTTAAAACATTTGTGTTTAGCTTTTTTGCATATGTGCCATACTTTTTTTTCTGCTCTCATACCTGCAGTCATTCCTATTCATATGTATCAGTGTGCAAAATACCCTGTCATTATCCTGTAGACTCAATCTGTGGATGGTTTCCTGCAGTTTTTAAACTACTGCGAGATGTAACTATGCTTTATTTTTTGAAGGCAAGAAGTTGAGAATTCATAGAAGCATTTTAGGTAGATAATACTGAGGAAAAATATTTCATTTCAGGACCAGACAACAGTACGAACTGTAGCATCAGCTACAACAACAAATGAAATTCGTAGGCAATCAAGTAGTTATGATGACCCCTGGAAAATAACTGATGAACAAAGGCAGTATTATGTTAATCAGTTTAAAACCATTCAACCTGATCTAAATGGATTTATACCAGGTAAGTTACTCTTTAAAAAATATAATTGTGGGTGCAGCAGTTCTGTTACAAAGACTTTGTTGTGTATTTAGGTTTGCATACCATTTTGAACAAAGTTCTGCATTTTACTGATAATGTTCCAGTGTAATTCAGGAAAGGACTTGAAACTAATTTGGTTTTTTCCTTCACTTAACCTTAGTAATTACTGCCATTTTTCCAAAACCTTTGCTAAATATCTCATCTCCTTTACCATAACTCTTAGTCTTCTAATGTTTTAACTTGCTTTAAATATTTAAAGTGGTTGTTGTAATTTTTCAGGGTCTGCAGCTAAAGAATTTTTCACTAAGTCAAAACTACCTATTCTTGAGCTTTCTCATATTTGGTAAGTGTGATGTGTCTTTATTCAGGATAACTTAGAAAGATGACAGCTATCTGGCAGTCATTTAATAATTTACTTACTAGAAGGTGTTAAGTGAAATTTCATTAGTCATACTTTGAGTATGTACTATAGTATGTTCAGTCCTACTCACATTTATGTCCCCATTACTCTAGTGGGCTTTAAAAGGTCTAGGCTGGCATTATTTACAAGGCATTTTGAGCTTCTGAAGAAATCTCAAACACTCAATTTGAGGGTTTTTTTGTTAAATATGCATCTAAATTTAAATAATTCCTTACCTGTATTTATTTAGTCAAGTCTAAGTTTAAATGAAATTTGCAGATGCCAGTATTTTTTAGTGCACTTAGTGGGCCTTGATGACAAATTTAGCTTTGACTTGGTGCAAAGCTTATATTTTGCTGTATTCTGGAATTTGTACTGCATCGTTGCATGCCATCATTAAATGGCTTACCTTGACAGATTTTATTTTTCTGTGTAATGATTTGTAATTCAAGTGTTTTCCCATTTAAAGTAAACATTGCCTCAGTATTTTTGTCAAAAATGAGGACAATAATATTATGTAGTACTGGCCTTAATGAGTTAAAAACCTGTATAAAAGTGGGTTTAAATGATCTTTAAGCACTAAGAAATGTTATTAATGAAAGCTCATCTTTGAAGAGTAAAGCATGGAGCACTAATATGAAGTGTTTAACAGGGTAAAATGAACTATAAACTGCATTCTTTGATCTTCCAAGTAGTAAAAAGAAGTATGTCATTTGAAATATCATAACCTTAAGGAATTTTATTTATACTAAGGTTTTTCTTTTTAGGGAACTATCAGATTTTGATAAAGATGGTGCACTGACATTGGACGAGTTCTGTGCTGCATTTCATCTGGTAGTTGCTAGGAAGAATGGGTATGATTTGCCACAAAAGTTACCTGAAAGTTTAATGCCCAAGCTAATTGATTTGGAAGACTCAACAGGTAGGACATGCATTAAGTCAAATTTCACTATTTTCAAGTGATGGTATAGTTGTTACAGAATATCAGCAGATATTTATAGGTTTGTATGAACCTAATGCATTAGTCAGTATGAAGTAAACCGATGTGCAATTTTTAGAAATCTTAATTAGTCCTCACAGCTAGTCTAAGCACGTATGTATTTCTATACAAGGAGATGTTATTTAGGAACAGTGCGCATTGACTATTACATTTGGAAATACTGCCTGTGGCCTTTAAAGGTTAAGGAAAACAAAACCGTCACAGTATGGACTTTTTTTCTGTATTCCAAATTCCCAATCCAGCTATACTTCAAATTTGATTTCAAATTGTCGTGGCTTAAGCCCAGCTGGTAACTCAGAACCATGAGCCACTCGCTCACTCCCTCCGCTTCTTCCTCCCCCCACTCCCAGAGAGATGGGGAGGAGAATCGGAGGAATGTAACTCCCACGGGTTGAGATAACAGCACTCCAGTAACTAAGGTATAATACAAACCACTACTGCTACCAATAACAATGATAAGGGAAATAACAAGGGGAGAGGATACAATTGCTCACCACGTTCTGAGTGATACCCAGCCCAACCCAAGCAGCGATCTGGGCCTTCCGGGTAACTCCCCCCAGTTTATATACTGGGAATGACTTGCTGTGGTATGGAATACCCCTTTGGCCAGTTTAGGTCAGGTGTCCTGTCTCTGCTTCCTCCTGGCTTCCCCTCCTCTCTGGCAGAGCATGAGACTGAGAAAGTCCTTGGTCGGAGTAAACATCACTTAGCAACAGCTAAAAACATCTATGTTATCAGCACTGTTCCCAGGCTGAAAGTGAGAAACACCAGCTACTAAGAAGGAGAAAAATTACTCTTATAGCTGAACCCAGGACACAAATGAATATATTTTCTGTTCCCTCTCATTTCTGAAAATATGGCATGAGCTTCTAAGTAAGTAAGGTACTTGGAAATGCTGCCAGATTCAATGCTAGAGCTAAGACTGTAGTTCAAAAGTACAGAATCTTCTGTATATAAAATATACAGAAATTTCCTCTTTTCCTTTTTTTTTTTTTTTTTTTTTTTTATTATTCTGTTCCTGACTTGACAGCTGGATTTATCCTCCATTGCTTTGGCACCTAGTCTTTCTGTGCATAGTCCTTTACTTTTGAATGCTTCCAGATAAACCATTGAATTTGAGTTCTACTTGTGCCAGAAACTGTCTCATAACTGAAAAGCAAACTACCATTCCATGTAAAAGTGGTGTTTAAAAACAGGTATTATAATGTTTTTATATATATACACACACACACACATATATGT